AATTGCTTATTTGATTTTGATTTAACATTGGTAGATTATGTATATTAAGAAATTCATCTACTAATTTAAGGTTTCGGTTTTGGTGGAATACTGATTTTTAAAATATATCCTTATGATTCTCTGAATTTCCTTGCCATCAGTTGTAATGTTACCCTTCTCATCTCAAATTTTATTAATTTGGAATTTCTCTCTCTGTCTTTTAGTTAATTTTGCTAAGGATTTGTCGATTTTAGTGATTTTCTCAAATAACCAATATAGTCGAAAGATTTCTCCGGTCCCGCCTGGCTAGCTCAGTTGGTAAAGCATGAGACTCTTAGTCTCAGGGTTGTGGGTTTGAGCCTCACATTGGGTGCTAATTGTAGACAAATTTCTAAACGGTCTTATTAAATAAAAACCCAGAGCCAGATATAGGGGTGAAAACCTGAGAGATCAGAGGAACAGGAAAAGCCACAAGCTAACCTCACCTCACGAACACTTCAGTCTCTAAAGAGACCTACTTCCTGTATACCCACGCCTATATGCCTTTCTGTTCTGCTACCTCATTTGCTCTCTGTCCAGCTACATTACTTCCTCTTCCTGCCCAGCTCTGTCACTTCCTATCTGTCTGTACAGACCTCCAGACTTCCATGGTTAATTAGTGTTGGAATTTAAGGTATGTGCCACCACACCTGGCTCTGTTCCCAGTGTAGCCTTGAACTCACAGAGATACAGATAGATCCCTGAATGATAGGATTAAAGGTGTGTCCTACCATTGCCTGACTTCTATGTCTAATATAGTGGCTGGCTTTTTCCCCTGACCCTCAGATAAATTGTACTGGGGGACACAGTATATTGGGGGACACAATACATCACCACAAACCAACTATTTGTATTATATTTTGTTTTGTTTTGTTTCTATTCCTTGATTTCAGCCCTGAGTTTGTTTCTTGCCATCTGTTCTTTTTTAATATCATTTATTCTTGTTGATCTAGTGCTTTCAAATATTTCAATAAATTAGTAATATGAGATCTCTTTAGTTTTTTTTAGATTACACAGTGTTTTATTAACTTTAATTTTTTATTAAGAAAATTTTTTTCATTCAGTTTACACACCAAAGATCCTCCTCTTCTCTCCTCCTCCCCCCCTAGTTTCCCCCTCCCAACCTACTCCCTCACTCCCACCCACAAGAAGGCAAGGCCTCCCATGGGGAGGCACATTCAGTAGAAGCAAGTCCAAGCCCTTCCCCCTGCTTCAAGGCTACACGAGGTGTCCCATCATAGTTAGTGGGCTCCACAAAGTCTGCTCATGCACTGGAGATGGATTCTGATCCTACCGCCAGGGGACCCCCAAGCAGATCAAGCTACATAACTGTCTCACCATGCAGAGGACCTAGTCCAGTCCCATGTAGGCTCCACAGCAATTAATCCAACTTTCGTGAGTTCCCTCCAGTTTGGTTTGGTTGTCCCTGCATGTTTCCCCACCATGTTCCTGATGCACTTGCTCATAGAATCCCTCTTCTCTCTCTTTGACTAGACTCCTGGAGCTCTGTCTAGTGATTGGCTGTGGATCTCTGCATCTGCTTCCATCAGTCATTGGAGAAAAGTTCTATGATGACAGTTAGGGTATTCACCGGTCTGATCTCTGGGGCAAGCCAGTTCAGTTCAGGCACCCTCTCCACTATTGCTACTTGCCCAGGCTGGGGTCATCCTGGGGGATTCCTGGCAACTTCCCTAGCACCGGGTTTCTCTCTATCCCCATGATGTCTCTCTCTATCATGGTGTCTCTTTCATTGCATTACCCCTCCCTCCCTGTTTCGGCTCAACCATCCCATTCCCTTATGTTCTCATCACCTATCCCCTACCCTCCATTTCCCACCCCTCATCCCCAGTTTACTCATGGATATCTTATCTATTTCCCCTTCCCAGGGCCGTCCATGCATCCCTCTTTAGGTCTTATGTAGGCATTTAGTAATATGAACTTGCCCATAGAACTGCCTTCATTGTATCCCATAGGGTTGGGTATGTTATGTTTTCATTTCATTCCATTTTAAAGTTTTTATTTCCTTCTTGATTTCTGTCTTGACTCATTTTTCATGCAGTAGTGAGTTTCACAGTTCCCATGAGTTTGTATACTTTCTGCTGTTTCTGTTGTTGTTGATATCCAGCTTTAATCCATGGTGGTCAGATAGGTTGCAGGATGTTATTTTAATTTTCGTATATCTATTGAGATTTGTTTTGTATGTGAATATGTGGTCAATTTTGAAGAAAGTTCCTTGAGCTGCTGAGAATAAAGTATATTCTTTAGTATTTCACTAGATGTCTACTGGGTCCATTTGATTTGTGATGTAATTTAACTCCAGAATTGCTCTGTTTATTTTTTGTCTGAATGACCTGTCTATTGGCAAGAGTGGGCTAAGTGGGGTATTAAAGTCATCCACCATCACAGTGTGAGGGTTTATATGGATTTGGGCTATAATTGTTTCTTTTATGAGCTTGAATGCCCTTGTGTTTGGAGCATAAATGTTTAGAATTGTAGTATCCTCTTGGTGGATTTTTCCTTTAATGAGTATGTAGTGTCCTTCCTTATCACTTCTGATTAGTTTTGGTTTGAAGTTTATTTTGTCAGATATTAAAATGGCTATACCTGCTTGCTTCTTGGGTCCATTTGCTTAGAATACCCTTTTCAATGCTTTTGTCCTGAGGTGATGTCTATCCTTGATGATGAGGTGTGGTTTTGGATGCAGCAGAAAGATGGATCCTGTTTTCTAATCCAATCTGTTAATCTCTGTCTTTTTATTGGGGAATTGAGACCATTAATACTGACTTATTAATGAGCAATGCTTATTGATTCCTGTTATTTTGTTGTGATATGGGTTTTCCCCTTTTTTGATTTATTGTCTGGAATTATTTATTTGTGCCTCTTTGGGTGTAGTTAACATCTCCAGATTCAAGTTTTCCTTGTAGTGCCTTCTGTAGAGCTGGATTGGTAGATTGCTTAAATTTGGCTCTATTGTGGAATATTTTTCTTTTTCTGTCAATTGTAATTGATAGTTTGGCTGGCATCTGTGGTCTCTCAGAGTTTGTAGAACATCTCTCTACAGGCCCTTCTGACTTTCAGAGTTTCCATTGAAAAGTCAGGTGTTATCAAATGGGCTTGCCTTTATATGTGACTTGGTCTTTTTCCCTTGCAGTGTTTAACATCCTTTCTTTGTTCTATACATTTAGTGTTTTTTTCTTGATGTGTTGTGGAAAATTTCTTTTGTAGTTCTATGTATTTGGTGTTCTATATGCTTCTTGTACCTTGATAGTTACCTCCTTCTTTAGACTGGGGAAATTTTCATCCATGATTTTGTTAAAAAATAGTTTCTGTGCCTTTGACCTAAGTTTCTTTTTTAATTTCTTTTTATTTAATGTTCATTGATGTTTTGCCTCCATGTATGTCTGTGTGAGGGTGTCAGAAGCCCTGGAACTGGAGTAACAGACAGGTGTGAACTACCATGTGGGTGCTGGGACCCAGGTCCTCTAGAAGAGCAGTCAGTGCTCTTACCTGATGAGCCATCTCTCTAGCCCCTGTTTTTCGTCTTTTTACTCTATCCCTGTTATTGCAGATTGGTTTTTTTCATAGTGCCCTAGAATTCCTATATATTTATTTTGGAGCATGGATTTTTTGTTTGTTTTAAGATTTAGCATTTGCTTTGACTGAGCTATCCATTTCTTCTACCTTGTCTTCAAGACCTGAAATTCTCTCTTCCATGTTTTGTAATCTGTTGGTGGGGCTTACTTCTGAGGTTTTTAGTTTGGATTTTCTTCAGTGATTCTATTTCTACTTTCGTGCTTTGCAATGTTTTCATTATTTCATTCAACTGTTTGTGTTTTCACTGTCTTCATTAAGACATTTGTTTATATCCTCTTTAAGGTCCTTGAACATATTCATAATTGCTATTTTGAAGTCCTTGTCTTGTGCTTCAGCTAGATTGAATTTCTTGGGTTCTATTACTACAGGTTCCTGGCCTCTAGAAGAGGCATGTTGTACTGGCTGTTGATTTTTGTATTTTTGTGCTGAGATTTAAGCATCTGGAGTTAAGATGTTTGAAGTGTTTCTTGGTGTAGATATCTGGCTGTGTCTTTGTTTGCTGTTGCCCACTCTGGGTTCTAGGCAAGTGGAGTCCCTGATAAAGAGTGTTTCTGTAGGTTGAGAGTAACACAAAGGAATGAAGATGGACTAGGAAGAAAGGCTGAGAAGGGCAGCATGAAAGAGCTAGGGGGCTGGGGTCCACCCCAAAAGGAAGAATCCCAAGAAATATAGGTGTGGTGAGAGGCACATGCAAGTAGGCTGCTGCAGAACAAAGAATAAGTCTAGAGAAGTTGGAATGGAGACAAAAAAGAAGAGTTGTTCTGTTTGATTTTTAATTTGACTTTTCAGAATGATTTGTCAGGGAACTAGGATATAGCTCAGTTAACTAAATGCTTGCTTAAGCAATCACAAAGCCCTGGATGTGATCCCTAGTACCACATAAACCAGGCATGTTGGTGCATGCCTATAATCCCAGCACTTGGGAGGGTGAAAGCAGGGTAGGTGTTTGAGGTCATCTTTGGTTACAAAGCAAGTTTGAGGCCAGCTTGATTTATAAGAAACTCTGGTGCGCGCCACCCCCCCTCCCCCCGCCCCCTTCTCTAAATGATTTGCCATTCCAACCCTGGTACACACAACTTTGTCAAATTAAGATCTCATTTCTCTCTTGTTCATTTTTGACTGAAATCCTAGCAGTTTAGAAATGATATTTTCTATATTTGGAGTGTAGTGACTACTGAGTATCTGCTGTGTGTATACCAAGGCTGAGGCTGGATTGAGCCTGCTGGCAACCCTGCTGGGACTGGCACTTACCCAAACGGGTGAGAAAAACTATGTGCACACACAACACGGCGTTACCCTTTGTCTCCTTGGATGTTGGATCACTATTTTAAAACATTTGTTATTTAGTACGTCAAGGGAAATTTTATTCGTGTATTTATTTTTCATAGGATTTTATAAAGGCCCATGACTTGGATGACTTGGAAAACACAGTTGCAGCTCTTAAGAATGAATTTCAGAAAACACTTAATGACAAGACAGAAAACCAAAAGTCTTTGGAGGAGAACCTAGCAGCAGCCAAACATGACCTCCTCAGAGTACAGGAGCAGCTGAGCATGGCTGAAAAGGTCAGGAGACACATACAGAAGGGCTTTCACCTGTTCATGTCTGATTACCTAATGCATACAGCAGAGAGGAACAAATGTGACTAGATAAATGCTAGACAATTATCAGATTATTTTTACTCTGAGTTTTAGTCAATGTATGTTCTGAAGAGGTATCATTTCTGGGCACTTATGTTCTTCTATCTTTGTGATAATAAGCAAACTGCTCTCTTCTTCCTCCATATGCTCCCTGCACTCTACACCTTGCGTTGCTCTCTGCTGGTTCTTCCCACAGCCTGACAGAGACCTGGATGGCTGGGTTTGTGTGTGTGTGTGATCTTTTCCAAAATGTTTTATATGGGAAATACATAGAGAGTAGATTCTTTACTTTAGGGTTTAGATACTTAAAAATGTGTTTGTGGGGCACGAGAGATGGCTCAGCAGTTAAAAGCACATGCTGTTCTTACAGAGGACCCAAGTTTAGTTCCCAGCACCCACATGGTAGCTCATAACCATCTGTAACTCCAGTTCCAAGGGATCCAGTGCCCTCTTCTGACTTCCATGGGCACGAAGCATTCATGTGGTATACATATATACTTCAGGTGAAACACTCACATACATAAAATAAATAAGAAAATCTAATCTTTTTCAGTCATATGTATTTTTTAAAAAAGGATTATGGATGCTAGGGATGGAATCCAGGACTCATGCATGCTAGGCAAATGTTCTACCAGCTGTGCTACAGTCCAGTCCTGGGAACTAAAATTAAAAACCTTCAAATTAAGGGCTAGAAATATGGCTTGGTGGTTAAGGCTCTTGGAGAGGATTTGGCTTCCAACACTCACATCAGATGGCTTACAACTACCTATAATTCTTGTTCTCTGCATGAATGTAGTTTACATAAACTCACTATCATGTACACATACACATAAATAAAAAGAAATGAATACTTGTTAAGACATTCAAATTAAAAATCCTCCTCCTTGGGTTTTTAGAATTGGGGGATATAGAAAAATATTGGACATATCTTACATGAAAGTTAGTTTGTATGTCATACAGAATCCCATATCTAGGGCATAGTGTACTTGTTACTTGCTAACATGTTGTTACCTTGGAAAATAGTACTGTTTTATTAGCTTCTCCTTTAAAATATTTTTAAAGTTCAGACGATTTTAATTTTATACAAGAATGTTTTTAAGGAAATAAGAAAATTGGCAAACAGTGTACATTTTTATCACATTTGTTATTCTTTCCTTAACATTTCTTAGTAATGGGCTGACATTTTTCACAAAGCAGGAGTTAGAAAAGAAATTTCAACAAACAGCAGCTTATCGAAACATGAAAGAGATTCTCACCAAAAAGAATGACCAAATCAAAGATCTACGGAAAAGACTGGCAAAGTAAGCTGGCTGACCTGACCTTGCCTTGGGGTTCCTCTCCCCACTTGCCTGCTGGTACCAATAAGTCAAGCTCTGGGTATGCCCATTGTTTAGTCCCCAGGGTTGCTTTTAGGCTCAGCTAGACATTTTCTTCACTACACTGTACTCGGTTGCTCTTGGCAGTGGATCATTAGCAGGTAATGGCACAAAAATAGCAGCTAGCAAGGGAGCACTAGGCATTTATGCTCCATGAGTTCTCCTGGTGCTAATGTTCTTTGCTTGTTGGGTCAATGGCTTTGCATAGAAATCCAGCTGAAGCTAGCATTTGCCTTTGTCAGAGTTCTCAGGGAAGACATCTGTAAAGTGAATTCAAGATCAGATTTGTAATGGGAAGGGATTTGTTAGCCCGTAACTCATAGTCATGTCAGCTGTTCATGGTGATCTGAGGGTTGTCATAATTACACTAAGCTATCATGGATCTAAATGCCAAATGCTGGTCTGGAATCTGAAGACATCTTGGGTGATGTGATGTAGACACCAACTCACCATCATAACACTAGTTTTGAGTGTAACTGACTTCTGCTACAATAGGCATGGAAAGTGAGCAGTAATGGCATTCCTGGGGTAGTTACTGGAGGGATTTCAGTTACGACAGCAACAAGAACAAAAAAGATCATGACAATATGCTCTTAATTTTATCTCCAGATATGAATCTGAAGATTAAAGACTGAAAGGTTTTGTCCAGAACCTGCCACACATGAACATACGAGTTATCTCCATCCACCTCAGGCATGTATTTTGAAGCATTTTGTCATATTCTCTCCTTTTTCTAATGTTTAGGCTTTGCTTGTAATACTAGAATTAGTATTCTTATCTTCAGTTCTCTAATTGAGAAGAGAAAAAAAAATGTAATGATTCTTTTTTGTTGTCCCAAACACCTCTCTGTCAAGTGCTCCAGTCTCCGTGCAAGTACAGTGAGATTTCTTCATGGTAGAAAAGAGTTTAGAGTGGGAAGAAGAGCCATCCTTTTGTATTAGTAAGAAGAGTGAACCTTTTAATGTTAGATAAGCCGGTACCATCAATACTTGTATAGTCTCTGAATGTAAAGATACATAGTAAAGTTATTAAGTTTACAAATAAATCTCCTATTTTTAATAATGAAATCCTAATTAATTTACTCTTTCTGATAATCAAAATGTATAAACTCATGGAAAATATGTTTACTGTCTTCTATAGTCAGCATTTTTAATCCTTTATAAGGGAAAGTAAGCTGCAGTGAATGTGAAGACTCAGTTAACCTTTGCATCTCTCTATCATGAGTGCTGCTTATCAAAGGAGATGCAGTCATTTTTTGCATCCTGACTTCTTATGGGTCTGTGTTATGGATGGAGAAGTCATATTCATCCTATGCTTTCATAGTTTAGAAAGCAGATGGACTCAGAGTACATGCAGTCTCTAGACTTATTTCCAGAATATCTGTTTAGCCTATATGTGAATTAGAACTCTTTCAAACTTTGACTCAACAGAAAGTCAGTGACTAGGTTCCAGGTTGGACTTTGGGTTGTGGTTTGTGTATGTATAGAGAAATGGCATTTTCAAGAGATTTTAATATTTCTATTGGTGTGCTTTTTCTTGGCTGATCATATATAAAGTATTAGAAACAGGACACATACCTACAGTATGTGGTGCAGTGATGTGGTATGTGAATAAATAAAGCTCACAAGGCAGTTAAACCTCAGAAAGAAAACATTTACCCTTCACATATTAACATGGTAGAAGTTACCCCATTTCTCAAAGCAAACATGTCTCATCCTGTGTGAACAATCTGAGAGAGGCTCCTCCACCTCCACAAATAGGGAACTTACTCCCAGAAAAGAGTGCAGTGATCAGAGCTTACATCTGTGCTATTTTCACTCAAACTTTTAGTGTTAGCTTTGAATGTACTGTGGGGTTTCTGTAGGCTTTGTTAAAATACTAAACGAACAAATAATAGTGAGGTAATCTCTCCCTAAAAAAGCAGGGAAGGCAATCTTAGAAGATGAATGAATCTGGGGAAAAAAAGTACACAGAAAGAAGGAAAAAAGGAGGAAGAGAAGAAAAAATACAGTAACAAGCCAGCATTTCCTACACATTTTCCTCATCCATTTATTTGTAGTTGGGTCACTCACCAGTTTCTTGTAGGCTTTCATTGAGGACTCTAGTTTCACCCTGTACTTCTTTAGCCCAATATAATTCCCTCTCTAAAAGTCCATTCCATCATTTGTGGACCAGGATGTTCTATATGAGTCAGAAAGCAGAACTTCTAACTAAGTGGAAAATCTTTCTTTCAGAAACCATTTGTTGTATTCTCCCTACACCCTTTGTCTGTTTCATGACAGAAAGAAAAGATTTGTTAAGAAACCTGTAATACATTACTGGGTAGAAGTTTATTTGTTTATTTATTTATTTTTGTTGGTAGTGGCTTTGAGTATTCTGTGTAGTGTATTCTACTTGTTGAATAATAAATTCAAAAGTATTTCTGAAACCTTAAAATCTCTTAAGCAGTAAGATAAACAATTGGCTGCATAAACCAATGTGAGACTTCTTTCACTTACACCGCTTACTGCTTCTGGTTTTGTCACTCTTCTGTTTTGCTTTCAAACTCATACCGCTCAGCAAAATGCAGTTTTAAATATTTATTTCACTTGGTTTCCCAATTTTAAGATTTACCTCATTTAACTGACAAAAGCCTATTTAGTCAGTACATTTTGGCCCTTTAGGAAACTAGTTCAGCCTTGAGTGAGCTGTTAGTGTACTGGTAACTGTGGACAGTCTGAGCTGGTAAGTCATCTTAATGAAGCTCCTGGCCAAGGTGCAGCACTTAACCTACTATACATGAGACCCTGGGATCAGTCTCCACACTATACAACAAAAACAAAACCGAAAATTATGATTTAGACATTTTGTTAACAAAAATAAAATGTAAAGGGTTTGTTATTAATATCTTCAATTTGACAGTTAAATGTTTATTTGTTCTTATCTTACATTTGTATGCCTGTGTTAAATAAATATTTAATCATTTGTTTATGTCTTGTAAATCTAATTTATAGAATATATTTGCTCTTTGAAATAAGTAATCATATTTGATAAAGCCTTTACTATTTCCATTTTGATAAACTGAATGAGATTCCTATAGATCTTTACATTTTAAGTGCTTACATTTTTAATATATTAGATTTTAAAACTTTGGTATTATTTGCCTTCCACTTACACCAAAGTGCCTGTGTTCTAAGCTTTGCCATTAGAAATTTGAGACACGATTTATCTCTGTAAGCAAATCTTTGATGATGATTCCTTCTCAGAACCAAACCAAAGAAACAAAAACCATTCAATATTTTCTGAAGGGAAATTCTAAAGAAAGATGTTGGGATGGCCCTGGCATCTTTCATACTGTCATCGGGTCAACCATTAAAGGAGTGTCTTGTTATAGAATCACCTAATGAAAATATAGATAGAGCTGGATGTTGGCTCATCCTTTAAAAGCACTTATTGATCTTGCAGAGGACCCAGGTTCAATTCTCAGCACCTACTTGATGATTCACAACCATCTGTAACTCTAGTCCCAAGGGATCTGACACCCTCTTCTGACTTTCACAAGCACCAGGCACTTGTGTGGTACCAAAACATACATGCATGTAAAACACTCATACTCATAAAATAAAAGAAAAGAAAAGTGAAAGTCATCATATAACTTCCTCTTTTTTTTTTTTTTTTTTTTGTACTTATAACTGTCATTTAACTTTTTTCTTTTTGGTTTGTCGAGACAGGGTTTCTCTGTGTAGCTTTGCGCCTTTCCTGGAACTCACTCTGTACCCCAGGCAGGCCTCGAACTCACAGAGATCCGCCTGCCTCTGCCTCCCAAGTGCTGGGATTAAAGGCGTGTGCCACCACCGCTCAGCTTAACTTTTATACTTTAAAAATTACTGATTATGAGACTAAGCAAAAAAAAAAAAAAAAAAAAAAAAAAAAAAAAAAAGCTTTGCAAATCCTTTATAATATATATGGTATCTGTGTATGTGTGTTTATTGATGTGGGGGGGGTATACATACCCTTGCGAGTGTGTGTGTGTGTGTGTGTGTGTGTGTACATCAGAGATCAATGTAGAGTGTCTTCTACCAATTCTTCACTTTATTTTTTGAGGCAAGCTCAGTCACCTGACCATGAAGCTCCCAGGTTCCTTCGGTCTCTCCCTCTTAGCACTGGGAATACAGGTTGTACTACTGTGCCAGGGTAAAGAGGTGCTGGAGATTGGAACGCAGGTTTTCATGTTTGCACAACAAGACTTTACCCACTGAGCTATCATCCTTTGTAATTTTTAAATGAAGCAATAGCAATAAACACACTATGAAGCCAACTATCAACTTGTTAATTAGAGGTTTAAGAGCACTGAAAAAAGAAATATGATCACTTAGAATCAGTGTGGATTTTGCTAGCAAGAAATTAGGCCTAGTAACATAGGCCTGTATTCCTAGTAACTTGGGATGCTGAAGTAGGAGGAGCACAAGTTCAAGACCTGCAAGGGCTGGCTACAGAGTGAGTTCAAGTCCAGTTTGAACAATTTAGCAAGACTCTGCCTCAAAATAAAAAATAAATAATAGAGGGCTAGTGATAAAATTAAGTGGTAGAGCATTTTGCCCAACATGTGCAAGGCCCTGGGTTCAACCTCCAATATTGAAAGAAGAAAACCAAAGTAAAGAAATAAAGAAGGGACCCAGAGAGATGACTCAGCAATTAAGGGTGCTTGCTGCTCTTTTAGAGGACCCAAATTCAGTGCCCAGCACCCACACTAGGCAGCTCACAATTGCCTATAGCTTCAGCTCTAGAGCATCTAGCCACCTATTCTGGCCTTTGCAGGTATCTCCACAAACATGTACCTCTACAAACATGTACATACTCACAGACACATATACATACATATAAATAAAAATACAATCTTTAGAGGCTGGAGAGAGAACTCAGCTGTTAAGAGCACTTGTTCTTGCAGAAGACAAAGGTTCAGTTCCCAGCACCCATGAGGTGGCTTACTGTGTGTAGCAGAAGTTTTTCTGTGTCCCGCCTGGCCCTGCAGTACCACAGCTGCTTATAAAATAATCACACAGAGGCTTAATATTATTTATAACTTTGGCAATTAGCTCAGGCTTTTATTGACTAGCTCTTATGCTTAAATTAACCCATAATTCTTATCTATGTTTAGCCATGTGACTTGGTACCTTTTTTCAGTTCTGCCTTCACATCTTGCTTCCCCTGTGTCTGGCTGGCAACTCCTGGCTCTGCTTTTCCTCTTCCCAGCATTCCCTTAGTCTGCTTGCCCTGCCTATACTTCCTGCCTGGCTACTGGCCAATCAGTGTTTTATTAAACCAGTGTACAAAAGCATTATCCCACAGCATTTCAGATGGTCAGGTTTTACCAGCCAAGACCCCCTGAAAGGTCTCCAATGACACCATGGCCCAGATGATCCAACATCCAGAAACGGCTTCAAGGCAACTGGCTTAGACAATACAGAATCACAGACTCTTCCGGTCAGGACTTGACCATAATTCTTAATCATAATTCTCAGGATCCCCATGAGATTACCAGTGCCCCCTATCAGCGGGAAGTAGTAAAAGAAGCTACACTCAAATTCCCAAAATATTGTTTTTAATGTTTATTTTTATTTAAAGAGAGTTGATTATAAATGCAATCTCTTTCTAAAGAAGAAAAGGGGATATAGATATAATAGGATAAAAGGGTAGATTATTGAATCTACTTTTAAGAGCAACAACTTATTTAAAATGTTTTACATTGCTATAGATTTTAGTTTATTACAAATTTAAAGTTAATTTTGTTTTACTGTATGTATATTTCTACTCTTGTTTAAGGAATTATGTTTATGTAACTCATTTAAATTGTAATGGATAATTAAGAAATACAGATTAATAGTTAATCATCTTTGATAATCAAACTTATAATCATATTAGTTGTTTTTTAGGTATACAAAGATGTATTTCAGGTTGTTTGTAATTTTCTAACACTTCAAAAACCTACAGAATATGGCATTTAAAATGTTTTAAAAATTTAGACTTTCTGGACAATGAGACATGTCTGCTCCTGGCAACACCAATTACTTCAAGGAAGATGGTGGGCATTGAAGAAACTCCATATGGAGTTTGCTTTCCTTATGGCAAAAGTTAGCCATTTGGACAAGAAACTGTTCTTGCCTGGACTGCTTGACAAAATAATGTATAAACTGGACATGCAGGACCTATAGGAAGGTGACCACTGATCTTTGCAAGACAAGATGGTCTTTCAGGTTCCTGCTTCCCAGAGGAGACTGCCAGACATTCTACAGGACACAGGAAAAAGTCCTATAGCCTGAAGATGGATGCCCCAACGTTACAGAGGAACTTTGGGTGATTGTCCAGGCAGGCAGCTGTCTCTGTCATTCTAGATTTTTGAAAGTTGCTTACAATGCTCTTCCTGTTTACTTAGGTAATATTATATCCTTCTGAGGTCTTTGATGTAGTTGAAGACTAGATAGTTATAATTTTCCTTGGTTATGATAAAAGATAAGTTAGATATGAAACCTTAGACTCATAAATATAGCATAGATAAAATATTTTCTTTAATTTTACCAAATACAAATAGACTAGATACCATAACTGTAATTCTTGCTTGATAACTGTTCGTTATATATAATTTTACTATATTAAAGCTAAAACCTTCCTTTTTGATTAGATAGAAAAGGGGAAATGCTGGGAGACATGTCTGCTCCTGGCAGCACCAATTACTTCAAGGAAGATGGTGGGCACCAAAGACACTCCATATGGAGTTCATCTTCTTCATGGCAAAAGTTAGCCATTTGGGCAAATTTCTGTATGCTATGAATAAGTGTTGCTCCGATTGGTTTGGCCTGTGGCAAGGAAGCTTAGAGGCAGGTGGGAAATCCAAGCAGAGAGACAGGAAGAAGAAAGGCAGAGACAGGAGAGATGCCAGCTACCACCAAAAGGGAAGCAACATGCCAACAGACTGGTAAAGCCACAGAACACATGGCAAAACATAAATTAACAGAAATGGGTTAATTTAAGATATAGGAGCTACATAGCTGAATTACTTAAGTACAGTTTATAGCATTTTAGTGCAGTTAATTCACAGAAAACCTACATTGCAGATTTAAAGGTACTGTACAACCATGATGTCTGTAAATAACGTTCCTTGGCACCTTTTCATCACTTAGAATAGTACGTAATACAACTTGAGTGACCGCTTCGGGAAGTACCGTCATATTCTAGTGTTGCCTCCTCAGTGTCGGACTGAGTTCTCAGCTCTGTCCTAGACATTTGCGCTAGAGTAGCCAAGTTCACTCTCGTCTGTCACTGTACTCTGTGCCCGCTGGTGAGCGCTCCTGGGTCCACGCCAGCTGCTGCAGAGGCTATTGCCAGGGCTAGTGAAAAGAAACGCTATATTTGTATGCAACACTAATCCTTTGACTGCTATCATCTCTTTCTGCTTGCTGTGCCTTGTTCTGGCTGCTTTTTCGTGCTAATAAAGTATGTCTGGTGTTCGCCTTGTTAAAAAAAAAAAAAAAGAAGAAGATATAGAAGCTAGCTAGCAAGAGGCCTGCCATAGACCATACAGTTTGTAAGTAATAATTAAAAAAAAAAAAAAAAAGTGGACACAGGCAAACTTTCAGCTACAACTGTGGGAGACCAGCTTCCACTTTTTATAACAGGGGACTCTTGAGAGAGGGATAAGAGTATTAGGTAGAAATATAGAGGTAGAAGGATAGAGGGGAGAGAAACAGGTAGAAACACAGGATGGGGGGGGGGTTGCTGGATCCTTTTCCACCGTCCCCTCTGTCTGTTCTAAAGGGCTATTTTGTGGTGATATGTTTTGTACCCTAATAAACTGGCCTGAGGATCAGAGGACAGAGCCAGCCACTATATTAGACATAGAGGTCAGACAGTGGTGGCACACACCCTTAATCCTATCATTTGGGAGGCAGAGATCTGTTTGGATCTCTGTGAGTTCAAGGCCACACTGG